CAGAATCAATTTGAAGGGAAATTTTGATACGTTGTTGGGTTTAGTAAGCTGTAAGGGTTTGAGTGTATTAGGCAGTTTATACAGGCAGCTCCAAAACGGTATGAAATTGTTTCATTAATTTTCAGGCACTGGTAATGAAATTGGTTGTTGTACTGTCTTTTTAATGCAAAAATTTAAACAGCAGTTAACAAGTGTGTAATGTTGCATATTGTCACAATTATTACTGGTATTTAGAAAAAGAATTTTGTCTGTAGTTTAAGAATAATATCTGACTTGAATGCTTGCCCTATGAATTTTCTAGATGGTTTTTGCTGGTCTGGTCTTGTTATAAACGATACCCCAGCCCTTGTATGCAGCCCCCAGTGGGATAGTTGAATCCAGTAGAAATTGGCTGCTGTGTGTCGGGGTAACTTGCATGCTTTCCTTACAATATATTTTACATTATTTTTGCAGGCTTGTTCTTGTTATAAACGATACCCCAGCCCTTGTATGCAGCCCCCAGTGGAGTAGTTGTATCCAGTAGAAATTGGCTGCTGTGTGTTGGGGTTATCTGTCCCTGCCATCTGCAGCCTTTGTTCAGTCCTGAATATTTTATAACAATAACAGTTCTTCACCCACTTTCCCCAAATGGAAGTGGGCCATTCTGTTATGTGGCCCTAATGATTTTTCTACGTGTCTTTTTTTTTTTCTCGTAGCTGCATTTTTATTTCACGTTTCATGTAAATTGTGACAGTATGTAAAACACAAAAGATAGATATAATTTTAGATATTTCCTAGGAAATTAAATTGTTACTATTACGGATATTTATGCAAGTTTTGAAAACCAAAATGTCCACTTGACAACAGTGTTAAACATTATTTTTTTCATCTTATATAGAAATCCAGAAAATATATATGACAACTACAACAATGTACCTCATAACCCTTCTTCCCTTTCTATATGATAAAATGGTATGACCTTGTTTTTTTGAAACATTGATTATCCAATCAGCTCGCAGGGCTGTGAGTCAGCATGACCTAACTGTGGCCACGCCACATCATAGTATTCCCACAGGGTCCTCATTTGCATAAAAGGATGGGGGTGTCTGGAATGACTCAGTGATTTGATGTAATAAGAGGAGCGTATAAACGCTTCAGAGCTTGGTGTACAGTACAGACATTACGTTTGAGTCAGAGAGAGCCACGTTGGAGTGTTACAAAGATTTGTCCGATGTGTAACTGTGCTAACTGGAACGTGGCAGCTGTGTAGGAAATAACACTACAATGGTGGGTGGTATCATGGTAAGGAAATAATTCCACCTTAGTACCTAGCCTCCGTAGCAGGCTTATAGAACTGTGGGTTTGGTGGTCTTCAGCTATTTTCTGATTAGCCCAGTTAGGGGGTAAATCAGTTGTCTATACGCAATCAGAAAATAGCACATAAAAGATCCCAAAGACCAAGAAGACCCTCAAAACCCCAGTTTTTGGAATGCTATGGAGGATAAATTCTACCCTTCTTTCCTTTACCAGGCTTTTGCAAGAGCTGGAATAGGCAGCAGAATTTGTCTAAAACATTGATTTTTTGCTGTAAGAACAAATAGAAGTTTCAATTGTTGATTTGACCTAAGAGTAATTTTTGGAGACTACTGAAGGCTTTTTTTGTGGAGGGTTTTCCCTGTTTTTTTGTTTGTCTGGTTTGGGTTTGTGGAAATTCCCTTGAGAAAAAAAAAGGCCAGTCAGCCACTGCTTTGTAGTGGGGGTCCTTTGTCTGACAATTGCTGACTAGCTAATGTTTTTGTAGTGCATTGTAATGGTAAAGATGGTTTTGTATTGAAATGATTTTATTTGGGAGAAGGAGCTATTTTGCGATTGTTCTTTGTCTTGAAATTAGGTTTGTTTTAGTTCATTTAGGTTTGAGTTGTCTGAAGTAATTTCTATAGATTGTGAAAGATTTCCTTGCTCCCAAAGCCGTATCCGATTCAAAATATTTGGTGCCAAACAGCTTACTTACCAGGTTGAAAGTTATACATCTTTGTGAAGCATTTCTAATTTATTTGCTATGACACAAGTACAAATTTATATTCTTTTTAGCCTGTATCCCACCCTAAAACTAGAGAGAGAAAAAGCCCCCCCCCCATCTATTCTTACGTCAAAACAAGCATCCTCCCAGCCAAGTCCTGTCTGAATCCAAACAGAAATCTTTTTTTAAGTCGTCTCGTCTGCTCAAACCAAACAGAAGTTGTTTGTCCTCTGGTTTTTTCTTTGTCACGCTGACAGAAACGTCTGCTTGCGGTTTTTCAAGGTCATTTCCTGACAAGGTCAACTAGTATTTACTAGTTTTTCAGGGTCCAATTCTCCGTGTACTACCAAGGACAAGAGTGACTGCAGCAAATATACAATAGCTTAAAGGTGGCCTTTTGGACATTCAAAAGCTTTTCGAAATGTTGGCAATAAAGATTTAAAAAAAAACTTGCTTTAAGTTTAAGACGATACAACTCACTAAAGGAAACAAACATATGGAATAGCAGTTGCCTTCAAATTACCTTTTTTTTTTAAACTTTTAAAATGGATTTACTTGACATTCATGACCATCAGACATTTTGTTCAAAGAAAAATCAAACTCTACTACTAGATAAATTACAGAGAAAACTTCCAGATGTTTTGAGTGGTATCCACCACTCTTCTTCAGTGTCACTAAATGAACTGAGAGCACAAATTTCACACACATCAGACATTTTAATCTATTTATAGTTCTATAAAATTAATGAGGATGGCGGTTTTGTAAATCGTTGTTTTGTGTGCAAATTGTTGCATATGTTTTGCTAAGTAGGTGTCAATCATTCAAATGCAGTGGAGAGTTAGCTGCAAAAATAAAACACCGTGAACATTTCAGAATTTACAGTAAAAGCAGTTCAATAAGACCCTTGTAGTACACATAACATGTCTCCACCCTATACATTGCTTGTGTTACATATTACGTGATGTCACAAAATATTTTCATGTTTTTGTGACCAAATATGGTAATAAGATTTCTGCCCCTCGCCCCTCACTGCCTATGAAAAGTGAAACCCCGGAGAGAGAACTGGTTACATCCGGTTTTTGGTGAAAGAAAATCTGGATCAAAACAGGTGTTTTTCAGTAAGCAGATACAGTTTCTGTAAATCCATTTGTATTACGCTAGCAGGGCTCAAAATTCTTTTTTTTTTTTACATAACTGCACTGGTGCAGGTAACATAGAAAATTACCTGCACCAGGCAAGTTTTACCTGCAATACTCAGAATTTAGGAAGTATGGATCACACTAAAAAATGTTCAGAAACCATTGCCATTATTTCATTTCACATTTGTTCTTCACTCCAAATTTCTGAATGTTAAAGAAATTTCCACTTTGTTTCAACACAAGCATTAGATAACATGGTAGAGAATTATGTTGTACGTACAGAAGTAGTTATTTTATTACCTTGTAGTTCTTGTATTATATACACTATACAGAAATTTGAGCATGGAAAGTCGTTGTTATTCCACTCGTGTGCTGTCTGCATTTTCTAAGAGTTTATGATAGCCTTCGGGACCTGAAGATCCACTCTGCAGCAAGTATTCACTCAATATGACGGCGACTTGGATTGTAAGGACCACTCGAGTGTAGTAAATGTCTGTATTTTATCCTAATGCATTTTGGATAGGCCACTTTGGTATTGGATATAAAGAAACTAGACTAGTCTTATAACTGTAAAGTAATTTGTTGATACATCTGAAGGAAAATTATACAGTCATTTGCTACATATATTTGTACCACTCGAGTGTATTAAATGTCTGTATTTTATCTTAATGCAATTTGGATAGGCCACTTTGGTATTGGATATTATATGGAAACAAGGCTATGCTTATATAACTGTAAAAAATGGACATGTTCACTATATATTCACAGTGGCGACAGGTGCAGGGAAAAGAAAGTCCAGGAATTATCTGTTAACTGTAATGATAAGTTCACTGTACAAAAGGGACAGTGAAAACAGTGAATGTAAAAGTACAGAGTGAAAAAATCATTTGTTTAATAATTAATAATTTGTTGATACATATGAAGGAAAAATGTTCATAGTCATTTGCTGCATTTATTTGTAGCTCAGGTCTTAAAAGAAACAATCTTTTCTTAAGGTGCAGGGGTTAAGTCTATTGTAACATCTTGAAAGATGGCTTACAGCCTTTTTGTCTTGTTAGCGGAGGTTTCTGAGAAATGCCCTTATAAGGTCGTGGTTTGAAATGGTGGTATGACGGCATTCAGGAGTGTTAAGTGCACTCAGTATTCTAGAATTGGCCAGGCTGTGTTTTCAACATATCCGCTATAGTATGTTTTTTTTCTAGCATTTACTGATTTTAGTTCTTTGAAAGGAATTGCAGAGGTCAAAGAAAAGATGACAACTAAATGCTTATTTAAAAATAGTTGCATCTGCCTATATCTATGAATACATACTAAGAATGAACATGAAATTGTGTGGAATCGTTTTTGTTTTGTACAAAGGTTTGATAATCAATCAAGACATTATTTAAAGTATGGTGCCAAAACAGAATTGTATTTAACCTTAAGCACACTGAAGTTGCCAGTTGGGTAACAATTCTCTTTTGTTTACAGGTTAGGCAGTAGGAAAAAGGCTAAAATGTACAAGTTTAATAAAAATTTATCTCATTTTCCCCATAGATTGTGCCGTCAGCGAAGAAGTTTTGGTGCCAAAACAATTGTATTCAACCTATATCACACTGAAGTAGCCATTTGGCTACCAATTCCTATTATAATAGTAACAGGGAGAAGGTTAAAATGTACAAGTTTAATAAAAATTTATCTCATTTTCCCCATAGATTGTGCCGTCAGCGAAGAAGTTTTGGTGCCAAAACAATTTGTATTTAACCTTTATCACACTGAAGTAGCCATTTGGCTACCAATTCCCTATTATAATAGTAACAGGGAGAAGGTTAAAATGTACAAGTTTAATAAAAATTTAAAACTTTTTCTCTTTTTCTCCGTAGATTGTGCCGTCAGCGAAGAAGTTATGGGATGTGGGTGGAGACGGAGACACGGGCGGTAAGGGAGCAGGAGATGAGCCGAAGAGCATCTTTCTGGGCGACCAGTGGAGAGAGAGCACCTGGGGCAGTGTACAGACTTCCATGTCAGGTGGGGAAATCTGTTATCATGAAAGTTAGACTATCTGTGTTGGTAGAAATCATAGTAAAATGACACAAGGGTTACACAGGCATCAATGTTACTTTTGGGTATGGAAATATTGTTTTGGATGGCTGAGCTCTGTGTTTGCGTAACTGTGGGGCAGTGTACAGACATCCATGTCAGGTGGGGGAATCTGTCCATAGTTCTTACTATGATATTTGAGCCCCCTATGCTGTGATTTGGATCTCTGTGCTGTCAGGTGGGGAAATCTGTCGTTAATTCCAGGAATTGAAGTATTGTTTTGGGTGGCTGAGCTCTGTGTTTGCTTATCTGTGGGGCAGCGTACAGACATCCATGTCAGGCAGGGAAATCTGTTGTTTATCTTCGAAACAATACAGTTTGTGCAGGGGTTTCCTCAGAAATTCTTAGGGTAGAAGCGTTCCTTAATCAGTTGATGAAAAATCAGCAAATTTTCATGGAAAATACTAACAGAAAACCCTAAATTTGAACAGTGTGGAGCTATGATTTTGGGAGAGGGAGAGCACCCTTGCTTCATTGCTTGAGGAGAGCCCTGCTATGACAGATTAAGTGAAACCTGATTCTTTCAATCAAATATCATGTTAAATGTTTGTAAAATCATAGATTTCAGACTTCCAGGAGATATCTTAGATTTTTAAATCCACAGACCCCTAAAAAGTGTATGTGTTCTCGACAAGTATGTTTTACCTAAATTTTTATCTAAAATGGCAGTTTCTGCACATGTCTTTACAGATCACTCGGTGTCGCAGCCAATCATGGTGCAGCAGCGCAGAGCGTCGCTGGGTGGTTTCCATGGTAACGACGTGGGCTCCGTGCTGTCGCCGCGCTCGTCGGAAGCGAGCGGTCTCGGCGTGAGCATGGTGGAGTACGTGCTGGGGTCGTCACCGGGGTCAAAGGAGATCGACTCGCGTATGAACAGGCTCAAGGTCGGATTTGTAAGTATTCTTGTGTTGGAGTTTGACCTTGAATAAGTTTAGTTCTTACCTTGGTTCTCAGACATGTGAAGGTAAATATACAACAAGAAATGCAGAAGACAGGATAAAACTTGAATTCAGCAGGCTAAAGGTCGGATTTGTAAGTATCCACAAATTTATAGTTTGACCTTTTTTACTTGTAAGGAGTGTAAGTTTTATCCATAGTTCTCAGACATTTCAAGGTAAAAACACAAGAATACATTAGAAATACAGATGGCAGGAAAAAATGAATTTAGCAGGCTAAAGGTAAGATTTGTGTGTAATAACTTGACCTTGATTAACCTTAACCTCTTGTAGGGAGTATTTAGGTTGGAAAGTTTGGTTGTACTTGTAGATACCATTTTATGTAGGGGAGGGGAATACAGTACATTTGTCCAGCTAAAAAGAGACTTGCTACCTACTTGCTGTTTTCCTGCTTTTTTAAAGACAGTTTGGACAAAGGTTACATGTGAAAACCTGTCTACCTGCAGTTTTCCTCCTGAAAGAAAGAAACCGATTCTTCCAAATCACTATCCAATCTTTAACAATCCCTTTAAAAAGTTCCTGGAAAAGATGTATTAAATGTTGGTTATTTTTCCCCACAGGAGACAGGTGGAGACGGCAGTATGGCGAATGACGTGGACGGAACGAAGGCAGGAAAGAAGGACAAGGTAGCGGAGGACGGAGACGGGAAGGGGGACAAGCACGACAAGGAGAGCGTCGAGCAGGCTCAGGGCAACCCTGGCACGGTCAACGGGGCGGTCAAGGATGACAAGGGGTTCAGGTAAGGGACTTTGTGAAGTTACTGTCAATATGTCAATATACAGTCTGTATATGAATGACTCCAATCTGGTAAAATCATCGAAAAGGCTCGGGACAACCCTGGAACTTCTTTTGAGTTTCTATGCTAATATATGTGTCAGGGGAACCGGGCAACCCTGGAACAGTCAAGGATGACAAGGGGTTCAGGTAGGAAAGTTTTGATATTCAACTTGGATGCTACTTGAAACATCTCACAGTTCTCATAATGTGTCCATTTGCTTGGGTAACAATTTCCTAGAGTACTTCTTTGTATATATTCAAGTTACAGTTGAATTGAAATAAAACTTCTTGTTTTTCCCCAGCCGTACCCCCGGAAGTCGTCAGGCGTCGCCCACCAGTGAGGAGAACAAAGTGCACATTTCACAGGCAGCTGAGTTCATCCCTCGCAGCATGCCTACCAACATACCTAACCAACATAACCAGGTTAGTATAAACAATTGCTACGATCAGGGAAAGACAGATGGTAGTTACATGTTTAGAGTTAAAACTTTAGATCCAACACAAAAAGTTCCCTCACTTAAAAGCTTTCGACCAGTAACTCTGGTCTTCCTCAGTAGACTGACCCAGTGAGGCTTGTCACATGGCTTCTTTGAAGTGTGACGTCAACACTGAAGTTCGATTAGCCTTCTAGCAGCTTTTTATGGTACTGCAGCAGAACTTCCAGCTTTTATACCTATATGTTTCAACTCTAATTTCAAGGCAACAAATTAAAATTCTGTGTTTGGTGGCTGAAGAAGTAATTTGACCCCACAGGTCATGCAGACGACACGCCCCATGATGGACGAACTGAACGAGCAGACGGGTAACCTGACCCTTGACCCGCTGGAGCCAGTGACCGTTGACCCCCTGCAGTTCGACTACTCGGGTCAGATGGGCCCAAATATGGAGAGTCCCGGAAACTTTGTGGCGTACGACCAGCAACAGGTACCACTCTACTGCGGAATTTGGCGCTCGCTTTTTTCTTGCATCTAAAAATCGGTTACTGTATTAGAATACAGGGTGTGAAATGAAGAAATCATATTTGGTTATTGGCAGCTAGTTTCTAAATTTTTTTTTTCTAATGTTTAAAGTGTTTTAGCTAGTGTGTTATACAGGCTGTACCAATACAGATACAGATTTGAATACACTCTTTCCTCTAATGTTGAAATGTTTCAAATGAAAATTACAGAAAAACGTGAAATATTTCCATTTTTTTTATTCATCACCCTGTAGTTTGCCAATTTTTTTGGTGCAAGAAAAATAAACTCCTGCATGCATTTTTTTTCCCCTACTCTAACTTGCACCCATAGTCCACCTATACCTATATAATACTGCACTTGCTTTCTCTATATCTACTGCATGATTCTGGGTAGAATTAGTAACACTGGTCAATGTGAAGTCAAAACGTAGCAGAAAAATTGGACCTTTAAGCATCAAATATTTTGAATATTATATATTCCATATATTCTACTTTATTGCAAACTCTCTTGCCTAAGCACAAAGCTGTAATAACAGTTATAATAATCATAATAAAATTGAAATTTGCAACTATTCATGTTTGTAAATGACCAGTGTTGCTAGTTTTCCTGATATCACCCTGCACCCCTCTGACTATAATGGGCCGTCCCGCCCCCCTCCCCACTAACCGGTGTGCCCTGTGCTGTGTGACCTTGACTTTACTAAATGAAGGTGACATTCTTGAATGACAGCAGCTGTTCCGCCAGCAGCCGCTGACGATCCAGCAGCTGACGGCAGCGCAGCAGCAGCAGTACGCCCTGGCAGCAGCTCAGCAACAACAGCAGCTAGGTATGTCATACGTTTTTTTTTAATGTTTGCAACAAGAAACAGTAATTAAATTATTAAGTACAAGAGTTATTAACCAAGGATTGAGGTGTTTAAAAACTTGTTTTTCCTAGAACTAGAACTCTTTTTTTCTAGAGCTGTAGAGTGGAACTCATTGCCACCAAATACAGTAGGGGCAACCATTAGATAGCTTTGAACAATGTTAAGAGTTAGATGTTCAAGGGTTAGGTGTAACAGTTGTTTGGCGTGCCGCGTGCCCGTGAAGCTGGTGTGTTACGCCGATGTGTATACAGATACAGAAGGAAAACATACTGTATTTCCTCTGTTGCACATTTGAGTTTGTATTTTTAGGGAGGAACAGGAAATAGAATAAGAGAATTGGAAACGACATGTTAAAGTTTGTATTGCTTGTTTGGTTATTTTCGTTTTTCTTTTTTGTTGTCCAGGGCTCCCGACAGTGTTTGCCCCGAACCCCTACATCATCAGTGCAGCTCCTGTACAGGACCCTTATGCAGCAGGGCTGGCTGCTGCAACACTCGCAGGTACGTAATACCTCTAACTGCAACCTCTGCTACTGCAACCTCTTCTAGATGGTAAAAGACACCAGGAGTTTGGATTAGTCAGATGTTTTTCAGATGAAATATTTCAAAACAGCTACAGTGATAGGGCGAGATGTCTCAATGATTTAATCATGGGTCTGATGACCTGACTGCTAGTGAGGATATCTATCCTTATGAGAGACATACAGTAACATGTTTTCATCAACATCTAGAGAAAAAAGTCACATAATTGATCGTGTGATATCAGATTTTTTTTAGATTATTTCATATACCAGTTCATGTGTGTATTTAGTTGAGGTTTTTTTTCACAAAGGTACTGCCACGAACCAGTGTTTTCTTTGTCCACCTCTGAACAAGTTTTTAAAAAATGTTAATGAAAGCCCATTGTCATCTACCAAGCCTTTAACTGTTGTATGAAACTTTGTGCACGTGATAATCATAGTCATGTTCATTTCAAACCCTTTTGAACCCCAGGAGCGCCTGCAGTGGTCCCTCCCCAGTATGCAGCGTACAACCTGCACCCGTGGGGCGTGTACCCTGCCACTGCAGCCACCTCCGGACTCATCCAACAACAACAGCAGGCACAGCAGCAACAGCAGGCTGCAGGACAACAGCCCGGACAGCCCATCAACCCACAGATGGTGAGCTTCAACTTCATTCATCACCTTATTAGCAGCACCACCACGGACAGGCTGTGTGCAGCATACAGAATTAAAAGCAGATTATATTAACTTCAGGGTTTTTCTGAACAGGGGGATAAGGGCACAGCTCCCTCATGCAATCAGCGAGCTCCCTCTTATAAGTTATAAATTTCCAATTTGTCAATCGCATGAAACCTCAAACCACATCGTCAAAAGCATCTGATTAATGGAAATTTGCTCCCTCATACTTAACTTTTCTAGGAAAACTCCCTGAACTTATAAAGAATAACTGAACTCACTCACTCACTCACTGTCTGGTTTATCGTCTGTTGTTCCCTGTCTTCCGAGGGTTAGACGTGCTTGCACAATACATCTGGGGCTTGATGGCAGCACGCCACTTGTCTCTGTCCTGTGGGTTGATTTTATCTAAGTTCAGGTGGTGGAGGTCCTCCCGTACGTTGTCGTACCATTTCCTTCTAGGGTGGCCACGGGGGTTTAGTATAACATACAAACAGTACTGAATATACTGAAATGGTAAGTCAAAAACAAAGCATAATACTTAGTGGATAGCGATTTCCATATGAGAGTACATCCTGGCTCTTTCATTGTTGTATAAGGGACATATAAGTAAGAAATGTTTGCCTGTTTCAGGTGCGTGGGAACCAGGGGCGACCTATGACCCCTCAGCAGCAGGGTCAAGAGGCCATGACCCCGCAGCAGCAGCAACAGGCCCTGCAGCAGGCTCTGCCTGGTGAGACATGCTGATTGGTTGATTTTTTAAATCTGACTCTCTGATTGGCTGATTTTTAAATTGAATTTACCTCTGAGGCAGCTGATTGGTTGATACTTTTAATTTTACTCATGAGGCTCCCTGATTGGTTAATTTTGAAAACTTCTGCCTAGTGAGGGTCCCTGATTGGTTGATTTATTTAATATTTTTACAGTACTGAAATCTCTCTCTCATTCTCTAATCACTTGTTGCTAACACTAACACATGCACAATCTGCTAATAAACCCTGTAATGGGGCTCAAAAGTATGAAAGCAGGAGAGTTAAGGTAAAAGAAAATATTAGCAGAGGCATTGTATCTCAATTGAATTGCCTAGCAGAAATTCCTTTGCAACTGCAGATACAAATGATACAATGCAAAATCTACCATTTGGCAACCAAATCTACCACAGAAGAAGACTATTTCCAGGAGAATTTGACCATTTCAGTGTAGAAATTACAACCTCCTAAAACTAACCCATCATTTCTCTCCCCCAGCCACCCACCCGGGCGTGTCCCCCGGCCTGCTGGGAGCTGGTTACCAGGTCCTGGCGCCGGCTGCGTACTACGACCAGTCAGGACAGCTGGTCATGGGCAGCGCCCGCGCCGTGGGGGCTCCGGTACGCCTGGTGCCGCCAGGCCCTCTCCTGCTTAACACTGCACAGCCAGGTGAGTCTGAGTAGCAACATGTACATGTTTGTACCAGGCTTTAGAAGTGCCCGGAAAGTGTAGAAATTGGCCACCAAATAAACAGATAACATGCCAGGGGAGTTAGTCTAGTCTGTGCCAGGCTTCAGAAATGGACGGAAAGTGTAGAAATTAGCCACTAAATAGACAGATTCAACATTTACTAGCTCCTATCAGGCTTCTTTAGAAGTGGCCGGAAAGAGTAGAAATTGACCATCAAATAAACAGATAATATACCAGGAAGGTTGTAAGAGAGAATGTTAGACGTTGAATGTGGGGGCTCCTGTACGCCTGGTAATGCCTGGACCGCTCCTGCTCAACACTGCACAGCCGGGTGAGTAAGGTTTTACATGTACATGTTTGTACCAGGCTTCAGAAGTGGCTGGAAAGTGTAGAAATTGGCCAAATAGAGAGTCAAGTTCGAGTAGCCTCTACCAGGCTTTGGGAAGTAGCTGGAAAGTGTAGAAATTGGCCAGACAGACAGATAACATGCCTGGGGAGTTGGTCCACAGGAGAGTACACTTGCTGCTAAGCTTGGTAGAGGCTAGAGTTCAACCTCCAAGCTTGGGCTTTCTTCAACCATCTGGACCAAAATATGAGCACCTTGGAGTTGATTCAGAACTCCAGCTCAACCTTCAAACACATGTAAGGGTGGATTGCTGTCCGTATACCTTTTAATCTTTTCACTTCAAAATGATGTAAAAGATTGTTGAAGAACTTGGACAGAGTAGGTCCCAGCATGTGGGTGGGAAGATTGGCAGGCGGAATAACTGGTCGGTGAAAGGTTTATAAAAATCTGCCAGTAGCCAGCAAGAATTAGAAGTTGACATGAGGGAATTCAGGAAGCTAAGAATCATATACTTTGCAGGAAGTCTGAAATCTGTTATGTTCATTCTGAATTTGAAAGAGAAGAATATGACGTTCTATGTGAATATATTTTGGCTAAAATTCATGTTATCTTGTCCTAAGGTGCGGCGAACGGTCTGGGTGCCGCTAACGGCCTCCGCCTCCTGGGTACCCAGCAACAACAACAGCAGCAGCAGGCACAACAACAACAACAACAGGCCCAACAACAGCAACAACAACAGAGTCAGCAGCCTGCCAACACTCTCTACAACGGCACCCCCGCTACCCAGCAGAACACCGGCTTCAACCCGATGAACTCTGGCCTGGGGTTCAGTAACGGAGGCATGGGACCTATCGGGTCTAGTGTGGGGACAATAGGGTCAGGCAGCTTCTCAGGTGAGAGATTATTGCTTTTTTACAACTTCTACCTCAATAACGGCAGTAAAACCTTTGTCAGCCGAAATGTCAGCTTTTTTCAAAAGCACTTGTTTGTTTTAGATCTCTGTTAGTGTTAAGTATTATGGTTTAATCCTATGAACTCTGGGCTGGGGTTCAGTAATGGTGGCATGGGACCTATTGGGTCTAGTGTTGGGACAATAGGGTCGGGCAGCTTCTCAGGTAAGAGCTTGTTTGTTTGTTTGTTTGTTTTAGATCTCTGTTAGTGTTAAGTATTATGTAGAACACCGGCTTCAATCCCATGAACTCAGGCCTGGGGTTCAGTAATAGTGGCATGGGTCCTATCGGGTCTAGTGTGGGGACAATAGGGTCAGGCAGCTTCTCAGGTAAACGTTTGTTTGTTTTGTTTTTTGGATCTCCGTTAGCATTAAGTATTATGAAGCAAGTTGAAAATGTTCTTTCCAGTACGAGAATTTGGAGTAACCCAATTTTTAGACTGGACAATTTCGGGTTTTGTCAAGGAATGAAGAAATTGGAAATTACAGTCTAAACTTGCTTCATAATGACTTCTACCAACACGGATGAACTTTCAAGATAAGATTGGTGTTAAGTGTTTCAAATCTATTACATGTTTTTAAATTTTTTATATCATTCTTGCACGTTATCTGAGGAGAAAACAAAGCTGCTAATTGTATGAACCTTTGTGATTGGTCCCAGACAAGAAAGGAATTTAAATTTCCCACTTCTCTGCCAATAGGAAGCCTGCTCTCTCCCGGGATCGGCAGCAACAACAGCAGTTCCTCCCAGCGGCGTGACTCCCTGACAGGGAGCATCGACTACAAACGTCAGAGTGTGCCCCCCATGGGGAGCCTCGGCTGGGGTCTGGGAGGGGTTTCGCCGTCCCCTGGGCCGGTGGGCATGCCCCTGCCCAGTCAGAGCGGACACTCGCTCACCCCGCCCCCATCCCTGTCTGGTTCTTCCACCAGCATCAACCTGGGAGGGTATGACCCGTACAGCACTTCTCCCAATGGTAGGTTTCTCTTGTGCTGATGGTGTATTTGCTTTGTTTGATATTAAAGGCATCCAGTGTAGTTATAGGGTACCACCCAGAAAATAAAGGACTCATCTTGGAGCTTGTTTCTGCAGTTTCGAATACTCAAAGTATGAAGTACTGATTGAAATGTGCTAATGTGAAGCAGTGTGTGTCATATATCATAAAGATAATGCCTTGTATATATTCAGGATATTTCAATTTTTCCTCCTCTGAAATTGCATTGGATGCCTTTAACAGCCATCTGTTGTGCAAGTTGATTTGGTGTACAAAAATTATGATGGACTTGTATTACCTGCTGTATGTTATGATAGATATGTTTGTGTTGGGAAAGGTGTGCACGCTTTAAATCAGAAGATATTGAACTATCAATTAATGATATTGTTTATTTTGAATCTAACAAAAGATAAACATTTAAAGCATGAATATGTAAGGGTTTGTGAATTTTTGTATTGACTTCAACATGCAGACTTCAACATTTTTAGTGTTTGGATTGTAAAAACATTTGTTACATCCTAAATTTGTTAACTTTTGTGTGTTCTACCTTGAACACTATTAAAATTATGCTCTTGTTTGTGGTGTATATCTAACATTGTTTGGTGTTTGTTGGTGTTGTGTGAGTTTGAGACTAACCGATACTAAACCCCGCCGTCACCCCCGGTCTGACACAGACTACACCATCCCAGGTGCGCTGTCGACCGGCGGGCGCGTCGTCTCGGCCGCGCCCGGGGCAGAGGCACGGTACAGGAACACCTCCTCCGCATCCAACGGACTGTTCGGCTCCGGGAGCTCGCTCTTCCCTACACGCAGCATGACGTCGAGATACAGGTGGGCTGGGATAGGTTTTATATGTATTACTGATAGCTTTATCGTCACAAAGAAACGAGAAGAAGCTGAACCTACGTATTAGAGTTGTTCTAGAGCTAATGTAGTTAGATTAGTATATAGTTCTGTATGTACTACAAACATCTATATACCTTTTCATCTGTTCACGTATGTACAATAAAGGTTATCTGATAATTAAAAGTTGTAACATTGGCATCAGTAGTGTAGTTAGTCCAAATCTAAATGCAATCATATAGTTATGGTATAAAATTTTAATGCTTTTTCCACCCTCTCTGTTCTGTGCAGGACAAACTCTGAGCAGGGACCCCCATGGAACAGGTGGGTTCTTATCTTGTTTAATCATTACGTTAAGTTCAACCTCTACATGTAACTAAGTGGCAACTAGTCTTCCAGGAGAGAAAAGAAGTACATAAAAGACATAGGATTACATCTTAACTTTGTATGCATACACCGAATCTCATAAAGTTTAATAGCCCTTGTTTAGCCTCTCAGTTGGTCACAATTTTGCAGTTCAAATTCCTCTCCTGTAGTTTTTCTTGCTGTTTACAAGAGTGTTTTTGAGTGTGCTATCAGAAGTCTTCTTGGTTAGTTTCATTATGTTTACAAGAATTGTTTTCGTGATTTTCAGGAGTCCTCTGGACAAGGCCCCGTCCGGTCGCAGCCGGCTGCTGGAAGACTTCCGTAACAACCGCTTCCCGAATCTGCAGCTGCGCGACCTGGCCAATCACATCGTCGAGTTCTCACAGGACCAGCACGGCTCCAGGTACGCTACGCTGCGCATGTGTGGTCACAGTTTCCCTTGTACAGCCTGTACTGGGAGCATGTTGGCAGAATGTACTGCGCCTGCGCAAAACCTTTATTGTGTTGTGCATAGCGCTTAAGCACAATGTCTTGTGTAAGATTGTATTTAAGGATGACATTTGGTCTTAAGATTTCAAGCATTGTATTGGAAAAGATTGAAAATTGTCTGAAGCACACAACCAAATGAAAAAAAGGGTTTTTCTCAGGCACAGTATGTTCTTGTGAACATGCTTGTTCTGCAAGGGTATCTTGTAGTGCATATTGTACTTGGATGTAGACAAGTTGAACATCAAGGTAAATATAAAGAGTCAGGAGTTGAATAGCCCAGAATGCACCCCATTGGCAAGAAGGCATGTTGTGAGCAGAACAGCGGTAAGCATAACAATGATTTGGAGGTATTCCTTTTTATTGTTGCAAAGTTGTTACTTAATGAAGAACGTTGCTGCAAGATGGGTTGTGAGCATGAATTTGCAATTTAAATTCAGTCAAAAATGGACTTGTACTTTGAAAAGACATCAGAGGGCATGAAAGGTGCAAAATGGTACAGCATGCTACAGCCCATAATAGTCTGCTACAACCCATGATAGTCTGCAACAGCCCATAATAGTCTCCCCACCACTGCTGGCCTTTGAACCAGAGGGCAACGGAACACAGCTCACCCAAAATTTTCGGAGAAACAAATTTTATCGCCACTTTTCGTCTTTCATGGTGCAATCTCATTTATTTATCGCACCGAAAGGAAAAAAGTCGCTTAAAATTTAATTTTTTCGTGGAAGTGGTTGAATGAAAAGTTCCCTTGTGTCTCTGGAGAGAAGGAGGTGGATGAAAGATGTTGATGTTCCGTTGCCCTCCCACCCCCTACAGATCAAGCTTGCAGCTGAGGGACCTGGCCAATCACGTGGTGGAGTTCTCACAGGACCAGCACGGATCAAGGTAAGAGCCGGACACCTGGAAAGAGAAAGAGAGAGATTCCCTTTTCAGTATTGTCATTTCATTCATGTTTTCCTGAACTGTATGTGCTTTAGAGGCAAAGAATGAGACAACCCTGTTCAAGAGATTTCAGTCGATGGAAGGAACACTTTTTTTCTGCATACATTGAAAATTACCTGGACCAGACAAATTTTATCTATCCTAGGAGCCATCCTATATCTATGCCAGGGCCCCTGCATACAAGTAGGATGGCACCCAGGCTAAGTTTTACCTGTTTCACCAAGACTTTAGGAAGTATAGACTTTTTATACTTGAGGTTGGTAGCAGTCAGAACACAACAAAATCCAAATACAGTACACCTATATAAACACTTATAGCTGGAGTGTCCCCTTTGTCCATTTCTTTCATGATTTCTTGAAATGTATGGACTTATGGGCAGAGAATGAAAACACAGGCCACTCTCAATTTTGAAGAAATGTAGAATATCTGTTTGGATTTAAAAGTCAGGAACAGAAATACTGGTATGCCTTAAATTTTACATGTTAGCTTGATATTTCAGGTATAATAAAACATTTTCACTTTGCACCCAGTAAAAGTAAAGTTTTAAATTTTTCGTCCTGTTATGTTCCCTCGCAGGTTCATCCAGCAGAAGTTGGAGCGCGCCACGCCTGCGGAGAAGCAGATGGTGTTTAACGAGATCCTGAGCGCCGCGTACCAGCTCATGACCGACGTCTTCGGCAACTACGTCATCCAGAAGTTCTTCGAGTTCGGAACCCCGGAGCAGAAGAACGCGCTGGCACAGAAGATCCGTGGACACGTGCTGCCGCTGGCGCTACAGATGTACGGCTGCCGGGTTATACAGAAGGCTCTGGAGTGTATCCCACCTGATCTAAAGGTATTAAGCTATAAGTTGTTTAGACAAGGATGATATCTTCTCAACATTAAAAAGGGCCTTTTGATCTTTAAACCTGTACAATAGAACTGTTAGAAAATTATTAAAAATGCTAATGACAGAAGGCTCTGGAGTGTATCCCACCTGATCTAAAGGTATTAACATGTTTTGTTTAGACATGGATGTTTTTAAGTCTTGTTTTATATAGAAATAGTCAGCTAGCATAGAGAAGACTCAGATATAATACTGTGCAAATATAAGCTCAACAGTTCAGGGTTCACATATAGAAATTAGTAGACATTCTTTAAAAAATTCAAGTGATGCTGCTATGATTATTATTTGCTGTTGCATGAGAGTAGTGAACTGAACATCATTGCTGATAAACAGCATCTGAGCAGCTTCAAATTAACCCAGAAGTCAAAACAAACACACACTGAATCAGTGTGGTCTAATGTGTAAAGGTATCACAGAATGGAATAGATAATTTGAAAGACGGAAAAAGGTCTGATATTGTTTTGAAGTGCAAGGGAAAAACGTATGATCCTGCCTAAGATTCGAACCCAGAACCTTTTAGACACAACCATAAGGACATCTTTAGACGGGATTTGAACCCAGATCCTTGTTGCCAGCTATCCTAACCCATGTTTAGTTCTCCTTAGCCTGGGTACCATCCTACTTGTATACCGGGGCTCCCACACTCGCTTCCCTAAGAAGTAGTCTGGAAATGGTTAGATCTGAACAGTCTGGCTCGGTCAGATTTTGCCCGAGTGTGCTGATTGGTCCCTCCTGTCTTGTTCATTAGCCTAACGTCCTTCTCAGTATGTGGTGATGCTTATCTCCTGCCTGCTCAGCAGGTATCACTGACCAAGGAAGGAGTTGTTTATTTATCTTGGATGGAGTGTAGTAGCCATTGAGAGACACTGTTGTCATGATTTTGCTAACATTTGAAGTAACAGAGCCACAAAGAACATCTTGCTTAAAGAAAACTACAAGAAATTGTTGTACTCAAGGTAAATTTGTGGCTGTACTTGTCATACATAAGCAGCAACTTTTTTGCCCTTACCAAAACAGCACATGGCCATGTGGACTTTGTACTGATGGGTCATCTACTAGTGGAAGAGGCTCCGCCCAGCCCTCCCCATGTGGCCTACCTCATTATGTGATATCATCACCAAGCCAAATAGATACAAGCGTTTCCAGACTACTTCTTAGGGAAGCGAGTGTGGGAGCCCCGGCATACAAGTAGGATGGTACCCAGGCTAAGTTCTCCTACCAGGGAGGATTAGAACCCCAAACCTTTGTTACCAGCTCTCCTAACCCATGTTTAGTTCTCCTACCAGGGAGGATTAGAACCCCAAACCTTTGTTCCCAGCTATCCTAACCCATGTTTAGTTCTCCTACCAGGTGGAGCTGGTGAAAGAACTGGACGGCCACGTCCTGAAATGTGTGAAGGACCAGAACGGGAACCACGTGGTGCAGAAGTGCATCGAGTGTGTCGACCCCTCCGAGCTGCAGTTCATCATAGACGCCTTCCGCGGACAGGTACGCAGTTTATTTTTTTGATACAAATTTATACTGCAACTAGAATTAATAGGTATTATGAAGAAATTACTAGGTTTTATGAAGAAATTACTAGGTTTTGTGAAGAAAATTCTTGGTTTTGTGAAGAAATTACTAGGTTTTATGAAGAACATGGTGCTAATTTTATATGACGCAAAGCACCAACAGTAAAAAAAAATCTTTTTTTCTTTCACATCATCTTGTTTTGCTCTTTCTCTTCTTCTCAATGACTTGGACCAGACATCTGTCACCATGGTAACTGCTTCTGTAGCAGACACCCTGTTTGAGGGGCTGGTCACATTAAATTTATTATGAATGTGTTTAAGTAAGACTAAACAGAGCAGAAGTTTTTTTTTTAGGCTAGAACATGTGAAGGTAACATCATGCATTTCTGTGCAAATGCTACTTTTCTCTTATATTTCTAACAACTACTTGTTTCCCAAGGTGTTTGCACTTTTCTAGTATATTTCTAACAATTGTTTGTTCCTTTAGGTGTTTGCACTGTCGACCCATCCGTACGGCTGCCGTGTGATCCAGCGAATCCTGGAACACTGCACGGTGGAGCAGACCATCCCCATACTGGAGGAACTACATGAGAACACTGAGAGGCTTGTACAGGTGAGATTACAGACTAACTCACTCGCACACACATTCACACACACACTCTCACTCACACTTACACTCACTCACTCACTATCCTGGAGGAACTACATGAGAACACTGAGAGACTTGTACAGGTAAAACTTAACACCTGGAAAATCTTAATGTAGGATATTTCAAGGACTGCAAAACAGTATGCAAAATCTCTGGTTACTTTAGATTTAAAAACAGAATAGAAATGCAGCTAAGAATCAAAGAGTGTTCACAAGAAAACTGTTACTCAAGCTGGGTGGATTTTGAAAACTGTCAGACATTTCAAGTAGCATCCACTACCTTTCATCAGTGACTGTGAACAGTGGATGCTACTTAAAATGTCTGACAGTTCTCAAAAACTGTCCAATTGCTTGAGTAACTGTTTTCTTGTGTATCTTATTACCTGGATGTCTAACCTTCGTCAGCATATCAAAGAAAGTTTATTAAGGATTGTTTCTGTTGTTTCCAGGACCAGTATGGTAACTACGTGATCCAACATGTTCTGGAGCACGGGCGCCCCGAGGACAAGAGTAAGATCGTGAACGAACTGAGGGGGAAAGTTCTGGCCCTGTCCCAGCACAAGTTTGCCAGGTGAGTTGTAGTCAAGCTTTAACATTCAGGACTTCATAGAGTTAGATAGAAACTGTTTTAACCAGTGAGAAGCAAACACCAACAAGTGGACATTCTGAACACTGTTTAAAGGGATGTAAAGCTACTGTGTTACAGTGAAGAGGGGTTATACCAGCCATAGACCATACAGGATACAGAGAGACCTAATTTGCTATACAGGAACTGAGGAGAGACTTCAGTGTCTTGAGTTTGCAGTTGAAACAACTGTAGTAACTTCATACAAGCTCATGTTCATTGTGTTATCCTTTACCACAAAAACTGCTAACATAAATCCATAGCTATGATTTCACCAGCTAGAATACTTCAGTGCAGTTCTACTCTATACGTTAGTCTGTGGTCGAAATACTTTTTCAGTGTCTTGTGCAATATTGCAGAATGTCAAAATTTTATCTTAACATTTGGGCAAAACTGCAGCTACAGTATATCCATGGAGGCTGACACCATTGAGCCAATAGCCTGATTTTTCAGTTTGAAAAACTGCAGGTTGCTTAAATTGTCTGTAGAATGCAGGCTGCATGTGGGTATTTCTGACACTGTTATTCCTGACTCGTTTGTGTTCTCTGTGTAGTAACGTGGTGGAGAAGTGCGTGTCCCACTCGTCCCGTGCAGAGCGCGCCATGCTGATCGACGAGGTCTGCTCCTACAACGATGGGCCACACAGTGCCTTATACACCATGATGAAGGTATTAAACTGTTAGAGATTTTGTATGCTATGTACTAGTATCTTAATGATTGCTTCTGCATGTTTCTCTCTCTCCCTCTCTGCCTCTCTCTCCCTCTCTCTCCCTCTCTCCTTCTCCCTCTCTCCCTCCCTCCCTCTCTCCCTCTCTCTCTCTCCCTCCCCTCTCTCTCTCCCTCCCTCTCTGACATTTTCAAGCGTGCTAGGCTGACCGACTTTTGTTTGTTGTTTTTAGGACCAGTTTGCATACTACGTGGTACAGAAGATGATAGACGTGGCGGAGCCTCAGCAGCGTAAGATCCTGATGCACAAGATCCGGCCTCACATCGCGACCCTGCGCAAGTACACCTACGGCAAGCACATCCTGGCCAAGCTGGAGAAATATTTCATGAAGAACAGCGGAGACCTGGGCCTCATCCCTTGCCCTCCCAACGGAACCTTGTAAACAACAACATAAACAAATAAACAACACGGCCCTGAAGTCACTAAACACAACACAACAACGTTTCCAAACACCCCAAACATGTTTAGCACAAACAACATGACCGAATAATGTTGTGTGGGCGACATGGCAACAAAAGGTTTTAGTTCCAACAACTTCCATCGACTGAAATCTCTTGAGCAGGGTTGTCTCTTTCTTTGGAAAGGTTTTTCCTACATGTAGCGCTGAAGTGGAGGACGTAAAAGTTGTACTTTTAAGGTTTCTACACGGGAAACCTGGAAGAAGCTCTCGAGGTGTGCACAGAAGCACGGCTCCGTAATGTCGTTAGAAATCAGTAGTTGAGGCAGCAGAAGGTTGGATGATGCTAGTTTTTTTGACAGAACTGTCAAGTCAGTGCAGCAGCAGCAGAAACGGCAAGGAAAGCAGTTTAAACACGTCTGAATACTTAAGAAAAAAAGCGTCAGCTTTAAGGAGAGAAAGAAGCAGGGCAAGTTTTAATCTGTGTGAAACAAAACGTTCCTTTGCTACAGGATTTGCCTTCCCAGAGGGCCATGGGAACACAGGGAATTCTGGGAAAGCATATGCAGCAGACATTAAGCAGTGGTTTGTCGACTAAACCAAGTCCAAAATTCTGTTTCTTAAAAGTGAGCTTTTCTTGTGGTTTATTCTTTCTCGAGTGCTCACGTCAAACCGAAAGAAACATCTGTGCCAAAAGTTGACTGTCTCCAGCGAAACGTTAAAGAATGATTCTTTCCCGACACTTCTTTTTGTGTCCTGGTCTTCCAAAACTAAAAAAAACATGAGTGTGAACTAAAGGAGCAGTCTAGAAACAACAAGTCGATCTACCACTAGTATTGTACGGGCCGTTTGGTTAGATCACTGTGTATTGTCATGCTGCATGTGTTTTCCCAAAATCTGTTAAAAATCAAGAAACCCTGTAAGTTTTGGACCCCTTTTGGGAAAGGCATCCCTCGTGTACTTACTTACTACCGTGTTTGTACTAGTTTTGTCCCAAACTGTCGCTGTTTCTGTAGCTGTATAATTACTTGTTCTTTTTCGACTGGAAATTTTGTGTAACGTGGTCCCTGTATGCTTCCATGAATTGATCCACAGTACATATGTACATACACATTTGTAAGTGCAGTCGGATGATTTTGGTAGACAATTTTTCCTGGGTCCTGTAGTAGTGTACAGTAGTTAAAAGACGTGGCTTGTCCCTCGGTGCTACTGTTGACTCGCAACAAGAACGTTTTGGTGTTTTTTTTTTTTGTTTTTCTTTCTTTTGTAATAACCTCTTTTAGACTGAACGAGATCTACTCAGTGTACATAACGAATAATACGAACTCCTGTACCAAAATCTGTGACTACAAATTTTTTCTGGACTTGTACGTTATAATACTACTGGACAAAAAAACCTTGCGCCCGGTGTTTTTTGGGCTACTTTGGGTGTACAGTCACTCTAGAGCTGGCGTTGTATAGCGAGGTATGTATATTTGAATTCGCCACGTGTACATGTTCGTACGTTTTTTCTGGACAGGCCAGCTTTCCTCTTTGCGGGGAAAATATACATAAAATCTACGATGCTTCCAATCACTCCAGGCTGAACTATTGTACATGTATTTATGGGCCATTTTCCGAAAACTGGATGTTGGTTATAAAAAGAAAAATAACGCTCCGCTTTTGTGCGTGGACAGGACCAGAAAACGTGGGTTTGATTCCCAAACGTTGTCTTGCATGCCTTGATGTGCATTTTACCTCCTCGTGGTGTTTGTGAAGATGTCTTTTTGGGGTTTATATTCGGAGTTTAGGAGTGAGAAACTAATACCAAGTATTTGTGTGAAAACTGTTAATACTTAACATGGTAAAAATGTAGCTATAGTCATGTGTAACAATGGTTATGTACACACTTTTTTCATTTCGTGTAACTTTTATATCTACATATATACAGTCGCATTTTGTACCTGTAGATTGCTACCGCCAGATATGCCTAGGTTTATATTTTCGTGGAATGATATACATATATTATGATACATATTTTATTGTAATATCAATAGTAGTTTGTGAAGAAGGCATAGTTGATTGCAACTTTAAATTGTACATTGTACATTTGTAAATGTGATGCTAGGCAATGAGTTTTATTCGCCCCCCACCCCCTTTTTTGCCCATGTACAAACCAGTGAACAAACGTACAGACACATGCACATAGTTTGTCAAAAGTGTACATTAATTTTGCCTGTATGATGAATAGATTGGGTCTTTGTACTAAAGGAGGATAGCAAATTTCATACTCAACAAAAAAAACAGAATAGCTTCTTGCCTTGTATGTTGATACTTGCACCATCGTTGAAAAAAAAATGGAAGTCAAATTTGAAAATCCACCTTAATAATTGCACGGTATAACTTGATATTTAACTTGTTAATATTGTGATTACTGCTACTAACTGTAGTTGAATGTTTTGTACTTTGGTAAACGTGACTAAAAAATCATGTATAATGAAATAGAGTGTAGAAATGGGTTAGAAAGTTGGCAATGTTACTGTTGTTGGTATTGCTTGCCTTCCTGGCAACGATAGTGACAATATTCGGTACATTGAAAACTTGAATCTTGGGTACCTAGGCCTTTTACTGTAAAAGCCAAATTTTGATGAGTTTTAAAGCTGAGGAAAAAAAAACTTAAAACGTCGAATAATAACGGAAACTAGCGATTGATTTCTAAGTGTGGTACGTAGATGACAAAGAAGGTTAAATTAGGTTTTCGTTTAGCTAAAGTTTTCATTGCTATTTTTTTTCTTTTCCAAAAAAACGACTGAACAATCGGAAGATTAAGAAATTGCTTTGGTGTAATAATACCCTCCGACAAGTATATAAAGGGTAGTTGTTTTGGCTTGTTTTTTTGACATTATTTTAGGCCCTAGGTACGTTTGATAAAGGTTCTGAGGGAATAGTAGGGATGTAGCATTTTGTATGGTAGTGTTAGTATGTGCAGTATATACATATAATGTGGGCCTGATCTGTACATGCTGTATATGGATAAAATACAACTAGAGCCCCAAGGACCTGTATGTGTATCAATTAAAAAATCATTGGTGTTTTGCAAACTATCAACCAGTGTGTCTGTTTCCTTTCTGGTATCAAGTAGTAGTTGATTGGATTGTGCATGTTTGCTGAAGTTGAATACTATTGCAGGGTGTGGGAGTATTGTTTTGGGTGGATTTGCGTGTATGTGGACAGAGTAGGTTGATAGCACATGGGTGGGAAAGATTGGCTGGCAGAATGATGGGTGGAAAGGTCAGACATGGAAATGGGCCAGGTGCCAGCAAGAATTAGTGGTCGACATTGGGGGGAATTCAGGAGGCCGAGGTTTGCATTTGTAACTCTCCAACATTGCAGTTTCTATTCTACAAAGCCATTCAACATTTTGGATTCTCCAGGTCTTCAAATTATAAGATTATTTGGTAGTTGGAACCATGTAATTTAAAAAAATGCTTTACATAGTGTGATAGTTGTATGCATGTAGAATATAGAGTTTTAATTCTACAATCTGAGAATGAATAAAAGAAGGTAAGAATTAATCTCCAAGCAGATCTTTTGGTGGGGGAAATGGATACAGAGTGGCCAATTTGACACTGTCTTACCCCCACCAAAAGATCTGCTTGGGGATTAGGTAAGAATGACCAAGTAATGTTATAACTAAAAAGAGAAATTGGGCATAGATGGTGCAAAAGTTTGAGACAGAGCAAAAGATATTGATGGTTAGAAATGTAAAGTAGAAAAACTAGTAATTAAAGAAAAAAAGGCAAAAATTCAATGCTGCGTTGGCCGGGAATCGAACCCGGATCTACTGCTTGGAAGGCAACAATGCTGACCATTACACCACCAACGCTCGCTTGGAATCCAGGGTAAATTTTAAGGCTATGACCCTTACCTTAATTACGTGACGTCACGTTGCGAGGTGACGCAGTATTTGTATGTAAAGTTTGAGTCAAGTTCTAGTAAAAAGACGAGTTTTGTGGATAGATAATTATGCTTATTTGACTTTGAGACGTTTTTTGGTTGATGAAAAAATTTGGGTCGGCGGAAAGAAGGGAAATTTGGTGCTGATGACGTCAGCGAGGTCAGGCCAGCGTCACGTGACGTGGGAGCGGGAGCGAGGCACATGTCTGGTCCGCCATTGTTCTGTGATCCACTCCCTTCGTAACACTTCCCCTTTCCCAGGATTTTCCGACGCTCCAACGCCGCTAGCCCACCGCAGGACACTTCTTTACAGACTAGAGACTTTTTCTGTTGGGAAACTTGGAGGATTCAGGGGGATTTAGACGGCGTTTTCGTACGATGTCTGCCAGCGTCGATCAGGTATGTATGTGTCATGGCGGCCGTCGATATGGCCGTGTCCTTTTTTCTGTCTCCCTGCGTTGCCAGATAGTTTTTTCCCACGTATTTCCGCAAGAACCACTAACAGCCCGTTGTGCTCTTTCTTTCCCCTCTCAACCGACGTGCTGTCAACCACAGAGGCCCAAATCACAAGGAAATAAAGGTGAGAACTCACTTTTTTTACCGCCGTATTTTTCTGACGTCTGCGTGGTAGCTTCCTGGTAGTGACGAAAATTACGTCTGCGTTTCAGGTTTTGTTTAATCAAAATCTCCCCCTTTTTGTCTCCTCTTTAACGACAGTTGCACAGAATGGACCCGTGAATCCGAAGGAGAGTGGCAAAGGCGAGGAATTCGAGCCTTACCTTCACAACAACCAAACTGGACAGGTAGGTTTTGCCCGGTAATTCGGCGTGACCAGTGCCGGTAGCTGCCCGGGCCAACTCAGCTTTCCGGCCCGGTAAAACTATGCGGACCCTCCCGCCCAAACAACTGTTGGATTTCCATCCATAATTCATCACAAATAACCTCAGTTTTACTCAATTTTTACACATATTTACGTTCAGTTGTAAGCGGATGCCCTTATGTAGAAATTTTTATGAAAAATAGCACCTAAAACTTACCATACTTGTAACTTTTTAGACTAAACTTTACGAAAATGATCGTCAGATATTGACCCACAACTGTTGGATTCCCATTCATAATTCATAAAAAATAACCTCTTTTTTACCCAATTTTTTCCTATTTTTTTACTTTGATTATTGCACGAATACGTTTATGTAGGAAATTTGGTGAAAAATAGCACCTGAAACTTCACTTACATAACTCCAAGTTTTTACCATACTTGTAACTTTTTAGACTAAACTTTACGAAAAGAATTGACAGATTTACCCTTAAATGTTGAGCTTATTTGAAATCTTTCCAACTTATGAAATTCAAATAACCCAACCATAATTTCATGATGATGACGTTTCTGCTTTTGAGTCATCTTTGACAAAATAAAATCCCCTTGTTGTACGCGAATTTGCAAATTATTTTACAGTACTATGTCAACAAGTTGTTTTAAGCTTTAACATCCACATATTAAAATCTCATTTATGTTGTAGTTATTTTACAAACATTTTACTTTGCTATTATGACCACATTTATAAAACAAAATTGCAGAATTCACATCCCACGACTTCTAAAAGTTAGTCATAGAAAGGAAGTGGCTAACTTTGGGGAGGGGGGCACATATTTTGCCTGCAGACAACTAGTAATTACTTACATCAAATTAGTTTGAACAATACTTTTTTACTATATAGGTTACCAAAAGTTCCCAGACAATAATCAGTGAGGCATGCATACACAAACATAGTAAAATGAAATAGATTTTGTACATCCTTGATATATCATTAAATGCCATGTGTTATTTAAAATAAAAAATCTTGAATATGTGAATTTGAAAACAATGCCAGTTATAAGCAACAGCAATCCTGGTTTTCAGTTGTTGTTTTTTTTTCATGAAAGTGAGAAAGCTTATAGAAATTAAAGAAGTTAGGTACAAGTTTCAGTTCTTGAATCATCTATGCAACACAGACTAACAAAATCATAAAGCTTTACTTTCTCAAAGTTTTAGGTTATCGCTTTGTTTCATTCCCAAACAAACGATGCATCAATACATGTATCATTTACAAACAACTTGAAAGCAAGTTGGTTGATTGAACCTTGAAGTCTCAGACCAATAATTTTGCCTGATGTTTATAAACTATGAGTGCATGACTGGAGTTGCATAAACTATTATACATGCAGATTCAAATATTCCTGGCTATCACTGAGTTTAACACTCCAATATGATAAACAACACTAGTGAGATGGGTGCAAGCATTTAACAAGCACATTTTGACACAATTTTTCAGTAACCATATGGGAAAGGCCCTTTGTGGCATGAATTGTTAGGCTTACTAAGTGTTTTAAACTTCCTTTTTTGCTCCTAGAAACCCAAATTTGTGTTCCAGTTCAAGTTTTGTGAACGAAGTTCTTCTGGTTGTCGAAAAACGTCAAAACTTTCAAGGGTTACTGGCATAAATTAGTAATTTTGTCACAGACTGTCAAAGCCCGGATATGTATATATGATGTATGCATGTATGTACTGTTAATTTTGCAACAGCGGCGTCATTTAAATATGTGGCTGACATTTTGAAACTCAACACATACATATGCAGAAAGGTTATATAACTTGTAACAAGGTAAAATATTCAGCATTGAACACTATTATCAGTACAAGAAAGTCATCAACATACTGTGACGTTTTGCCTATTTTTCATGCCTAATACGTTCCTAATCAAATTATTCTGTACTTAAAAGTCCACTCACATCTGGAATCAGGCTGTTTGAATGAGCAAGCTGTGAAAAATGGTGAGATTGAAGTGATATGAACGTTAGGGGCCAACGACTGTAAATTCATTTACTTACGTGGGGGTTATATTTTACAGTGAGGTAGAAAAGGACATTTTTACGATGTTTTAAATTTGCAGGTGAAACAATTCTATAGTAAGTACACTGAAATGATACATTTAAAAGTATAAACATGTTTGGTGTGTCATGAAATGATGAATTTACAGTGTAGAGGCCACTGAAAAAGTTTTAAGACTTCAGAGTATTCTGGCTAGAATAAGTCTGAATTGATCAATATAATTGCGCCCAATCTAAAAGGTAAATACTTGTACCTGGTATTGCGATGACGTGTCCCAAAGAATGTGCGATCGACTGGACTTTGGCCCTGTATATACCCGTGTTTACAAAACACAAGATAACGGCAACACCTGCCACACCTTGCCTTTGGTACGGTCCAAAGTCTGGCCTTTTGTACCTGATAATATGAGAGCTCAGTGCAAAAATGTCGGCCAAAGTCTGGGGTCTTCCTAGAAATGCAGGGAGATTTTAGAACGTTTTGTATGCAGCAAAGTAGTGCAGGACTTGAAAAGAAACTGGGATGGCATGCTCTGTTGCTTTTTTTCCTAGGGATTTTATGTCAATGTCTAATTTTTTTAACTCTCCCAAAACGCAGAAACCTTGGATTAAAACACTTTACAGGGTCTAATCAATTTAGGACTATATGACAATATGAACAGGACTATATGAACCGAAATCTTTTACATGAGCATATGAGATACATGAAGTACAGTAGGTTTTTTTGTATGACAAATCCAATACCATGAACTAAACTTGAGCTTCACAACATAAAATTTCAGGTATTGTTACATAATCTGGTAACTGCTTGAACTAAGTTGAATAGAAATTCACCGTGACTTGCATACTAGCTTCTCCATATTACAAGTTTACTATAATCTATCTTTTTTTAGGAGTGAGATGTTGAAATTAATAGGTGCGAGGATGGTATTTTAACACCTGGGTGGATGATTATGTATGCAGTTTGATAGGAAAGTACTCAGAGTTATTAGTGCACCAGACGGCGCACTGTCATTAGAAAGTTTCTATAAGTATAACATGAGAGAAGTTCTTAATTATATTGAAGAGGCCAGTGTTGGGAAGGGGGGTTCTATATATTTTTACATATAATAGAAGCTTCTTCTTTTTTTAATAGAAAAAGGTACACATATTTACTTGAATGGAATAAAATGGAGGAATATGTTTCTACCATTTTTAAAATCTATCTTTTTTTAAATAAGTTTTTGAATTATTTTTTATACAAAGTATGACATTCAGAATGAACATCTGAATTATGTATAGTTTTAATCTTATTATGTGTTCTCTTTTATGTGAAATTGTTATGAAATAAAACAGTTTGGGATTAAAAAAAAATCCCCCTGGGCCCCCCTGCACTATGATGCTGAGTGAAACCTCCTTTGGTGTAATACAGTCTGGAGTATGGCACAAGAACACTCACAGCTCATACTACAGCTGATCCTCTCACATCAAGCTATCTCTAGGACTCTTCTTGTATCCTGTGTGTAATAATATACAGAACAGGGTGGCAAGTAGCCTCCGTAGCAGGCTTATAGAACTGAAGGTTTTGGTGGTCTTCGGCTGTTTTCTGATTAGCTCAGTTCTAAAAACGGAGGTAATTCAACCAGGCTGGCTATGTTGTCTACATGCAATCAGAAAATAGCACAAAAAAAGCTCCCGAAGACCCCGAAACCCCCCAGTTGTTGGCATGCTATGGAGGCTAGTGGCAAGGTGGTCTTTGTGGGTAGCATAAATGACTTGAGAATCTAAAGGTTTGGGGTTCAAATCCCTGACAGGCCCCAGTGTTTTGCCCTTGGGGGATTTTTTTTCTGTGCACCTAAAATTTTTGGGTTAGGGCACCAGTGCTCATGTTCGGAAAATAGATTTCAGGCCCTGTATCAGTGTATGTGTGTTTTGCAATGTATTGTGGGAGCCCATGTTCAGTGTTTTGTCAGCTTTATTGTCAAAACACACCTGGATGGCAAGAAGTACTCTGTCCTTTCTAGTTGCTAGGCAACTAGTGACCTTTCAGGACTGTTCCAAAAAGTGGTCAAGGGGAGGGGGATACAAAGCTGGGAAAGAGATGACAGTTTTTTGTAAAATCTAGGTACACGTCCAAAGTACTAAATGTACTTAATGAAATAAAATTACACTGAAGTACATTTATATAGACTTGTTTTGTTATGGAAAACATGAAAATTTAGGCCTTAGTGCAAATCTATTTGTCCTACTTTTTGCTCATTAGTATGCTTCATTATAGTAATTAGGAGCTATTTACTACGAGCTAGGTGCCAGTAGGGAAAATGCATTAAAGGAAATGGAGAAACTTACAATAATTAAAATCTGCAAAAAAAAAGTTTCAAAGACTTCCAGAAATTCTAAAGATTGATGAAAAATCAGCAGTTTTTAATTAAATGCTAAGAGAAAACCCTAAATGTAAACATTTTTGTAGATATGCTAGGATTTGGAGGAGAGGGGAGCACCCTTGCTTCATTGTTTGGGGAGAAACTTGACACTTAGCAGAATTCTGCAATCACTGATTTGTTGTTGCCCTTAGTGACTGTGTGTTGTTTGTGTGCAGGCCTACGCAGGATCATTGAAAAAATCAGCAACTTTTCATGAAATGCTAAGAAAAAACCCTAAATTCTAACATTTTGGGAGATGTGCTAGGATTTTGAGGAGAGGGAGCTTCATTTTTTGGGGAGAAACTTGACAGAATTCTGCATTTTGTTGTTGCCCTACCTGACTGTGTGTTGTTTGTCTTTAGGCCTACGCAGGATCCACGCCGATGGCTCACGGCACCTCGATGTCGGACCCGTACATGCCCAGCTACTACCCCTCCATGTCCTTCCCGTACCTCAGCAGTACGGAGTGGTCCACGGGAGACCCCATGTCCTTCGGCTGGCCCAACGGTGGAGACCAGCAGCACTACGGACAGGACGCCATGTTCCCGCCGACTGGGAATGCCCTGGGGAGCACGCCGCCGTACTTTAACCAGACTGGGTTCAGCTTCTTTCCCCAACCGGTTGGTGGGACGGACTGGGGCAGCTCCGGGTGGCCCCAGGGATCGGGACAGAACCAAAGTGCCAGCGGGGGTGGCAGCCAGGCCCAGACTGCGTATGACTATTACCAACCCCCCGTGTCCGAGTTACAATGGACCCAACCCCTACCAGAGTAACGGACCAACGGACGTACCAACTAACAAGGCTCCCGGACACGGCATGAAGTCGGTAGACAAGGCTGACTGGACTTACCTCGGAGGCTCAGACACAAGGCACAATCAGGCTCCGCAGGGAGTCAGAACGGGAATAAGGCTGGACACGGGGATGCTACGGCCGCTAGCTCGGCCGCCAAGACCAACGGGACGTCAGCTACCACCACCACGGCGCCGTCTAAACCGGTCTCGTGGGCCTCCATCGCGAGCAAGCCCGCCATCCCGCAGCCGAAAGCGAAACCTAAGACTGCGGGCGGGACGTCCGGGGCGGTCATGCCGCCTCCGCCCATCAAACACAACATGGACATTGGAACCTGGGACGGCAAAAATGTTCCAAAGAAGCCCCCACCCCCTCAGCAGGCACCCCCGCCCCCTCCGGCATG